AGCACACACACCGCTACAGCCAGGAGTACATAAACAAAATACAACATACACTATAACTTGAAACACAACAAAAACATAACTCGAATCTACTAAAAGAGAATCCTACTTATCTAGATACGTGCCAATGCAGCTACCCCGACACAGAAAACAGCCCAAGAGAAACACGAAGCGAGAGCACAATCGTACGCACAAAGTGGAGCTAAAAAACTATAAACGAGAGGCATCGTTTCATATGTCACTGAGTCCGGAAAGTTTGATGTGGCGGCGGCGGCGGGGCGGGCGCAGGCGGCGGCGAGGGGCGGCCACTTTCGAATGGAGAGGGCGGCGGCGGGCACGTCGCTGCGGAGCGAGCGGCGCTCGGTCGCGCGGGGAGAAGGTGTCATCGCTGCACCCGGGCTAATTCCGGCGAAGGTGCCGGAGTTACTTTCCCCTCCTCCCGCGCTGTTGTTTCTGTCGCCTCGGGAGGAGGACGGCGAGGGAGGGCGGGAGGAGGCGGTGCCGCGGCCCTGCGCGCATCCCGGCGGGCGGGCGGGCGCTGCGCGGGGAGCTCCCGGTGCAGGGCGGCGGCCGCACCCCAACCCCGGGTGGCCCCTAGCCCACCCCGCCGTCTCCCCCCTCCCGCCGCAGCGTCCCCATCCCCACCCCAGGGACCTCCGCCCGGCTCTCCTCGCGGCTTCCCCTCCCAGGCGCACGGGGTGGCCGCAGCCCCGGGGCCGGGTGAATGCAGCGAGCAAACAAAAAAAGCGGGCGATTTAAACGTGCCTTCGAAACCCGCTAGGAATGCGTCGTGGCCCGGAGGTCGGTGAAAAGCCGCCTGGGCTTTCTAGTAACGGAGAGGCGGGTGCCTCCGCGGCGACCGGGGTCTGTCGTCCTCCGCTCACCCCAGCCAAGAGAGAATTCACAATTTCCTTTTGTAAAGTGATAAGCTGCAGTGGAACGACCTAAGACAGCTACGTTTTCAGGAAAGTGGCAGAAAAATCTGAGGTTTCCATTAACGGGAATGCTTGGGGGCTTCTTTCCCAAAGGTTTTTATGAGGTGATCTATTTTTCCTTTTTAGAAAACCCCGCTGTGAAAGGCTAGCTCTCTAGTTCCTTGTAGCTCAAGGCTAATAAATGAACTAGTTTTAAGATTCAGAGAAAATTATTTCCCTGAAAGCTGATTTAGGTAGTGGTCACCAGTGGTTAGAGATTATAATAGTAAGTTGCATCTTCATCAAATTACCACTGATCGATATTTAAGCACTTCTAAGTGGAGAAAAGAAGCCTTCAACGTAACCATAGCTAACACTTTCGGTGGGATAATTTGCTGCAGAGCGGGCCGCACTGGTTGGAGAGAAGCATGGGATATTCTTGTAGGTGACACTTTCTAGCAAATAACTGCAACCCAGAATTGTTTTGTCCCAAATATTTCAGTCTCATGTCATGTCACTTTTAAATAAGATGACTTTCTGATTGTTTGGCCTTTTGCCTTCTTCCTTAAACTTGTGTGTTTTTCATACACAAATGTATTTTGTATGTGATGCCAGCACTTTATTTCCACATCCAGAACAATGACAGCTTTCAGGTATTTGGTAGGTTTCCCCATGTCTCTCTTCATCTTTACACTAGTCAGAGATAAAGGGTGTTGCCTGACATGCAGTAGAACTTGACCTTGATTCCATCTTAACATCATAGATCATGCACTGCTTTCTAGTAAGTAAAGTTGCCACAGACATGTTTAACTTTGAATAAGCTAGAGAGAAGGATTCTCCTCCCCTCACTGTATTAGTTCCTCCTCTGTCACAGGCTTTCAGCCTACAGAAGAGTGTTTTAGCTTTTATATTAGTTGCCAGGGTTGAAAGAGTAGCTATAAAGGGAAAACGGTGAAAAATTATTAGTGTGCCTGAGAGAGAACAGAGAGAAAAAACTCTTTGGAGTTTAAGGAAATGTTATATTTTAAAAACGACTGTTGCTTAGCCCAGAGGCTTGGGGAGAAGGATTAACTGAAAAAACTTGGAGGCCTTGGTGAGAATAAAAGCAGATCTCTGTGTGTCTCACCTATAGTAGGCACTTCATAAATACTGATTTTTGACTTGAATGAGCCCTTGGTGGCTTGAAGTATTATTACAGAAGTGGTGTTACATGTACATTGTTGAAACTTAGAAAACACAGAGAAGCAAATATAATCACATATTCCTACCACCCAGAGCTCAGCATTGTACTGCTTTCCAGATAATTGTCTATGCATATGTGTGCATGTTTTAATCGAAATGAAATCGAACTGTATATACAGTTCTGTAAGGAGTTTTATTTTGGTTTTTCCTGTCAGCTAGCTTGGTAAGTTTTCATCTCATCTGTCACTGGGACATAGGTTTACTCAGTTGGCCCCCAAATACGACAGCAGCTTTGTCTATAACATGTCTGGTTGAGGCTCATTTATTGCATCTGGTTATTCTCCATACATAGACTTTAACCTACAGAAACTCTTTGACAGAACCTCTGACATTGAGGAGGCAAGCCTTTGGAATTGATCGCGATGGGATTTTTTAAGGAGTTGGAAATCAAAATAGCATTTTATTGTCATTTGGAAGTTTTAGATTTGGAGATTTTGTTTGAAAAATACTGCTCTAAAGAAATTTGCCTGATGCATTTGTCCACAGACTTGTTGGAAAAAGAAGGATCAGTTTCCGTACTGAGATGGTTGGAACAGCAAACATCCTCATCAAACACTGATTACATCCTGTGTCTGTAGGGTTTGTACGCCTGAGGAGGAAGCAAGCATATGAGTCTGACAGTTCTGCTTCCTTACTTCCTGTTGGTGAAGCTCTTCCCTCCTTAGTATTATGGACACCTGTTACGCCATCACAGTTAATGGTTTGTCAGAATTGGCATTACAGACTCAGTTTTCCCACAAGATTAATAAAATAGACATGTTCTGGAGGAAGATATGGCATCTTAGCCAATACACCTTGCTTCTTTATTTGGATTGGCATTAAAAAGTTTGTCTCGATTGTTCAAACACTGAATTATGTCAGTGTTACGCTTCCCTCCCCTCCCTGTCCAAGCCTATGAGTTAGAACATTGGCACCATATTCAACAATACTGTTTAAAAAATTTTAAAATACAGGGTGGCTTTGCTTGGAGTTGTTTGTTTCTTACGTGGTATCAGAAGCTTGGTAAGAACCTTAACTGGGAAAGTATTTTAATTCCTGAGACAGTAAGTTGTTTGCTTGACAGTTCTGGTATTCAGTCTATTTTCTCCATTTTCAAGATGTTGCTGCACTTTATGTGGTCATGCATTTAAAATTTGAACAATTAATGTTTATTATTTTAGTTCATGATAGTTCAGAAAGTTGAGACTTGATTGAAAATCCATTGTCATTTATGTGATGTACTTATTCAAACTATTGGCCTGGGACTGTGAGGGCATAGATTTTGATGTTTTCCCAGTTGGCGGGCTCTGATGGCGGCAGTTACCCACATTCCTAATCAATGCAGGATTGGCCCTGCAGGGCCTTTGTACCTCTGAGTGACAGTAGCGGCCTGTTTATACGTTGAGTTCTAGTGGAGTAGCTTGGAACTAAGAGGAAAATCTAGTCTAAGGGGATATTTACCCTGACTCTGGCCATGTCATTTTGGCCTTATCTAGTCTAGACCTTGAATGATTACTAAGGATGTCTTTGCTCACCAGAAAGCACCACAAATAAAGATGGCCAGACATGGCGAAGAAAGCGTGGTCATTGGCGAAGGGATTGTGTGCTTCCGTTTTGAATCCGCTATTAACTCCGTGGTATATGATGTGCACCTAACAAATGTTCAAGGACCAAACTTTTGGTTATGCTACAACCAGTCCAGCAGTTAACTTTTGATTTTGGCTTTTTAGGTAGAGTCAAGACATACTAAGGTGATTGAGGACAGTTGGAATAGTTCATTTTTAAAAACTTAGGTTCTGTTGGACTTATTTCTTGAAAGAATTAAACCATCCTTTTCTGTTGTTTTGAAAGCATTCCCAACTGGCATTAATATATTTTTAATATTGATCAATTAATGTCTGCATATGAGACTATTAATTTGAAACTTCACAACAGCTTCTAAGATACTTTCTAAGCACTTATTTTAAGTGAAGCTTTCAGTGGTGAAGGTACAAACCAAAGAATAAAACAAGCATTTGTTTCCTTTACTCCTTCCTTCTCCAGGGCAAGGAGCAGGAATTGGCAAGGTTAACAAGCTGTTGGAGTGTGAGCTGCCTGGTTTGCTTTTGTTTAGCCCAAAGTACTCTAAACATGATTTAAAATTTTTCTTGATGACTCATGGTCAGCTTTTTTATGCACATCAGTTATTTCAGTGTTGAAATATAATGACGCACTTAAGAAGTGTAGGCTGAGTGCTGGTGGCTCGTAACTTTTAAAAGTCAGATTTAAACCTGGGGGACCTCTCCCCCAGAAAAAGCCTGGGCCACTGAATGGACATGTCATTTCAGGGACTCACTGGATACTTTTAAGTGCATCTTTGGATCCCAGTTTAGTGTTTAAATTTTGGGGACTTCTTTTTATGATTGCTGCCTGATTCTTTTATATCACTATTAACCACGGATTGTCGTTAAAATCCCTGTCTAGAACAGTCATTTTTCTGCTTATTGGTTATTGGCTTAAAAA